CAAAACATGTAATCTTCTGTCTGGCCGGCTAGATCTAATGAGATTACCAAAACATGTAATCTTCTGTCTGGCCGGCTAGATCTAATGAGATTACCAAAACATGTAATCTTCTGTCTGGCCGGCTAGATCTAACGAGATGACCAAAAACATTTCGTCTTCTGCTGACCGGAAGTAATGGATATTGCCTGCGGACGACTTTGATGTCATCAACGACATGAACACAATAAATAAAATAAACTCGTACATCTGCCTGAATTTAGACTGGTGTAGTTTATTTCAATCAATGGGTTGTTTCAGATATTATCACCGGCTTCATAACAGCAGACGAGCCGAAATACTTACAAAACATGAAGCGATTTTACAAGTCTTGCATGGATGTAGGTAGGTACAACTATGGTAGTTGAACTGCTGACTTCATGGTGTCATCTTTGTTTGAAATGTTTTGGACCAGCTACCCCACGACAATGATAGATAAAGATGGGTAAACTGACAGAGATATTAAAAAAGGAAAACAAAAGGCAAGAGGGGCTTTTATAGCACTGGGGAATCTGTGGGGGTCAAAAGAAATTAAAATAAATACTTAGCTTCCTCCCCCCCCCCTTTTGTATGGGGCGGAAACATGGAGAACATCTAAGGCATTTACTTATAAACTACAGTCATTCATTAACTGGTGCCTGCGCAGAATAGACGGAATTGAATGGTATGATAAAATCACTAATGTAGAACTTTGGGAGAGAACTATACAGGAGCTCCAGTGGACCAAGAGGTGAAGAAAAGACGCTGGCGTTGGACAGTAAACACATTGAGGAAACCAGAAAAAGTATAACTAGAATGACTTTGCACTGGAACCCATAGAGGCATAGGAATAAAGGAAAGCCAAAAAAGGAAATGGAGAAGGGAGCTGGAGTATAAAGTTAGAAAGATTCGGATGACATTGGAAGAGCGGCATGCGATAGCAAAGAATAGAACGACTTGGCGGGAGTTGTTTTAGGGCCTTATTGGGTGGCTAGATATGGAGAAGAAGAGACCCCACGACAACACCCATGTGAGATAGAAATGATTAAGTGACATGAAAGAATTGACAATACAGAGCTTTGGGAGAATATTAAACGAATTCCAGTGAATCAAGAGGTTGGGAAAAAGCATTTCGATCCTCCGTGGACACTGCTTCAAAACATAGACCCTTGCGGTAAAAGTCACTGCATCCAGTATGAGAATGGAATTGAAGACAGTAACGACAGCTTTCCTATGTCTTAAGAGCAGCAAAGTCCGAAATATTGTAATTGTAACAGATTCACAGAGCATGCTTCAGAAAATTGGAACTGGTGTCTTGCGCACAGAGTAGCTTGCATAATTTGATAAGACCCAGATCAAGAGCATGTCATAGATTTTCTGTCCATGATTATCAGGTGTGCGAGGTAAGGAGCAGGCTGATAGATTAGTTTCTGTTGCTCCTCTGGGTGATGAACTACTATAAGAGAAAGCGGATGTAATGAAGCCTCTGTGGCAGCGGTTTCCAAGGTCGTGACCTTTTTGGGTCATACAACACTTTACAGGGGTCACCTAAGACTATCGGAAAACACATATTTATTGAAATTATGAAGTAGTAACGAAACTAGTTGTATGTTTGGGGTTGCCACAGCATGAGACACTGTATAAAAGGGTCGCTGCATTAGGAAGGTTGACAGCGACTTCTCTATGGGATCAAATAGACAGTGCAAAATAACAGATAGGGAATCCATACACAGAAAGACTGATTCAACGGTAGAAGGAAAATGGGAGGGGGTATAGTTTCTGGAAGATATTTAACATTGAAGTGAAGACAGGGATGGACTTTTAATCAGGTTGCAGACTGACCTCTTCGTTGGTTACTGAAGAAGGGGACTGAGCACGTGTGGGAATGTCTCTAGATGCAGTGATGTCAATACTTGATTCTTTCATTCATTCCTTCTTTCTGTATAATCTGGCTAAATTTTTCTAAGGTTATTGTTGATACTGTTGTTCCTTCTTAGGTATGGGGTTCTTTTTGTTCTGTGTTCATTATTTCAACATTGATGCTATTTTTAGTAGTTATTACCAAGGTATCCTAGTCACATGACCAAACCGTCTCATTCTATCACACTTTAATGTAATATTGAGAAGAACTTCACAGAGGATCATGCATAGCAGAAGTCTACTGTTCTTCAGTAGGTGGGTCCCTCGTTGGCCATTGCTTCTGGGCCCGTTATCTATCATTCTAGAAAATAGCGGAGGATTGGCCGGCCTGTTTCATGACTCCAGGCCATGGATATCTCCTGATGCGCTTAACTGGCGCTGGACAAGACGAAAACTTTGTTACCTTTGCAACAGGTATGGTCAGGTTGGTGTTATGAATTGTATCACTGGTTTACTTCATAGTCCTCTGAACCTCATCTACATTTAACTCCGTGTGTCATCAGAACAGATCGAGAAAACGGGCCTCGCCGAGTATTTCAAGGACCCCTACTCGAAAGACTGGCCTACCATCAACCCGAAAGCCTGGGATGAGGTGAATTTTAACCTGAAAGACGTCATTGCCCGTTACGCCAAGGTCGACACACAGGAGCTCTTCGTGGTTGCTTCTGGGTTAGACTTCAAAAACTCCAACAGAAAAGTATTGTTTGTGAGTACCTATTAATGTTAGTAGGTTTGATAGTAGCAGGGAATTTTATGGGAAATCTAGATAGGTGTGCTTTATTATTATCATCCTAGCTCCCAGATGACGTCACAGGACAGTCCAACATTTTAGAGGGTGGTGAGACTGGGTTTTCCAGCTTTATGAAGCTTTAAACGACCCCAAAACATCTAGAACTGGCCCTAACCCCAACTCACCAACGTCCCACAAGAGAGTGCAGCCTAGGTCCCACGACTGCATGCTACCTATCTGTAACTGTATTTGTTTTCATGAAATACCACCTTTTCTTTTGAATATAAACATTTCCAGTGACTCAGTTCGATTTTTTAGTTGCCTGTTCATTGTCCAAGTTTCTGCACCATACAGCATTTGATGATTTTCATTTTGACGTGTTGTTTATATCTCTAGCTGTCAATCATTTCGCATGGTATTGAAAACGGTTTTTGTCTTACCCTCAAGGCATGCAACGAAAGTATATTTACGGACGCCCGTCACCCCCTCCTAAAGGTTTCTGAAATACCCACACCTGTGAGCCGAAGATAGTAAACAAGTAAGTAAGGGACCTTTTACACGCCTTAAGGCGTAAAAGGCATATAGGGCTAGACTTATATTTTTATAGACCAATCGGCACAAGATCGGTGATGCGGTCAGTCACATGGCCGCCTTCACTTTCCCGGGACTGCACCCGGTACCCACTCAAGGCTGGGTCGACCTGGGAGCCAAGGTCATTTTTGAAAAAAGTCCGGCTCCGCCAGGGAGCGAACGCACGACCTTCCGATCCGCGGCGAGCGTCTAGCCGCTCGGCCAAGGCTCCCAGAGCCGAATATAGACTGGCAACCTCCAGGCTAATACAATTTTCATGACGTTAACATGATCTTATAGTCTGATCTTTCTTACATTATTAACTCACATTTCTTTTGCCCGGAAACGCACCCCAAAATTAACGGAAACAGGTGCACGACCCTCAGCTTGGTCTCACTCGGGAATACTACAGTCTACCAAGAAAGGATCCTCTTATTCTTGCATACCAGAAGTTTATCAAAGATATCACAGTGGCACTGGGGGCTAATGAAACAACAGCTGAAAAAGACGCCACGGATCTAGTCGATTTCGAAATGGCACTGTCTAAGGTAAGGCATAAACGGAAATGGAAGGGGGCTGTTCTAGTCAAATCATGACATAGTGTGAAGAAAAACGACTAAGAGTCCGTTCTCCGATGCACCTCCTTTCTTACTTACTTAGTTGCTCCTCTTCTACCTTGCGATGTCTATGTTTGCTGGAGGAATCGCCAGACTTCCTTTTGTGCAGTTTTTCTATTTGTTTTTATTTTATTCCAGTTCTCAGCCAGGGACTGTCGGAAATTGTCTTCCCGGAGAACTCTAGGTCGCCCTATTGGTCTGGTACTGCGCCTCCCGTGTCTGTAATTGTGGTCGATTTTCTCCCATTTTGACTATGTGGAACAGTTTCACGGCAGCTGCTTTTCGAGTAGCCAGCTATGTGTTAATGCCTCCATTCCCACCAATTCAGTTCTAAGGTATTGTTTTACTGATTGTTAAGGATGAGAGAAGAAATACAATCTAGAATACAATCTGGAATTAAAGTGAACTATGCCTTTTAATATCTGCCAAAGTAAAAGTGTCTGTCACGCAATACCAAGATCCAAGTATATCAAACGTTGATAATACCAGTCGTTTCATATGGCTCTGAAACTTGGAGCACAACTAAAAGAAAGGAAAAAGCCTTCGACAGTCAACAGGAATATTTTGTGGGAATGTATGGGGAAAAAGGGAATCAGCAGTCATCTCATTAATATTTGCAAAAGCCTGTACACACTTTATTTAGTAAATGCTGCTTAAGATCATTGACAGGATTGTCAAAAACTGTTATAGTGAACTCTGGTGTGCGTCAGGGCTGTGTACTATAGCCGCTTCTTTTTATAACATATATAGATATCATATGTAAGGAAACGAGCTTTAATAATAAAAAAATATATTACAGAATTACTAGTCGCCGACGACCAGGTACTCAGCAAAAAATTACGGAATGCCTACAGAACCACCTAAATCCAATTAGTAACAAAGGAGAGGAAAATAATATAAAAATAAACACTTCAAAGACCGAGACAATGGTGATAGAAAGAAAGAAAGACAGTTTAGCAATAACATTAAAAAAAAAAAAAAAACGACACTTTAAGACAAACAGAGGAATTAAAATATTTGGGTGCAATTTTCACAACCGACGAAAAAATTGGACATTGAAAATTTGCTCGACATGTACTAAAGCTAATCAAGTAATGGGGCAACTATCTCCCCTTTGGCCAACACTATGCTATCAGTACCAAACGTGA